AAACCAACTGCTCCATCATTCTGAAGGTGTTGCAGGCCAGATGCTTGGGACTATGTGTGAGAGGCTCAGTATTGAGGTGGATCAAGGGCAATATGGAGAAATAAGTTAGAGCTCCTATTGATAAACTCTAACTTAATTCACTTATGATTAAACAAAACCCACCTATATTGTATTATTACTCTCCTCTTTCTTCTCCTTCTATCTCTGATTTTCTCTTTCCTTTTCTTTTTCTGTATGCTTCTATCTCACAGAATCATTAGCATTTGAGGTAGACCTCAATGGCCATTTGAAAGGAATCTTCACTATAACATACTGGACAAGGCATCATTCAATCTTTGCTTGAATCCAATGGGGAAGAATCCATTTTCTCTGAAGGCAACCTCTTCTATTTTCAGACAATTCTAATTAGTGGGTCATGGACAGCTAGTTAAAGATGTAGGGGGAAAAATTGTAGCTGCCTGAACTCATCTCTTCCTATTTTGAAGGGCATGCCATTTTGATTCCCTGAGATCTGGTTTCTTGGAAGAGAAAAGAAAAGGTCAGAGGGTGGTTAGAGGGCTAGGTCTGAAGTCAGGAAGACTCATCCTCCTGAGTTCCAATCTGGCCTCAGACACTAGCTGTGTGACCCTGAGCAAGTCACTTAACCCTGTGTGCCTCAGTTTCTTCATCTGTAAGATGAACTAGAGAAAAAAATGGCAAATCACTCCAGCATCATGAAGAATTGGACACAACTGGACAACAACAGTCTGTATATAATTGTTTACATGTTGTCTCCTCCATCAGATTACGAGCTCCTTGAGGGCGAGGCCTGTCTTTTCCCTTTTCTTTGGATCTCCAGTGCCTAGTCTAGTGCCTGGCATATAGTAGGTGCTTAATAAATGCATATTGACTGACTGATGGTTTACCTCATGACAACACTTTAAATGTGTGAAAACATCCCCTGAGTCTTCTCTTCCTCAGGTTATGCACCTCTTGTTATTTCCACCAGTCCTTATGGGAAATAATGGACTCTAGTCCTGCTCTGGACCCTCTCCAGTTTATCAATGTCCTCGCTAAACTGTGATGCTCCAAACTGAATGCAGTCATCTAAATGTGGTCTGACCAGGGCAAAGTATAGGGGGACTATTAATTACCTCCTTATTCCCAGAGGCTCGTTGGATCCCAGGATTGCATAAGGTTTTTTTATAGTCACATCATTCTACAGATTCACATTGAGCTTGCATGTCACCAAAGTCCCCAGATATTTTTTCACCCAGGCTCCTGCCTAATGATGCCTCCCTATCATTTCCACATTATTTATCTCCTTCTCCTCTCCCTCTTCTTTTTTCTCCTCCACTCTTCTTTCCACCTTCAATCAACAAATATTTTGAATACTTATTACATGCTTGGTATTTGGTTACTGACAGATAAAAACCTTTTCTCTGACCTCTTCTCTTTTCTTCCAAGAAACCAGATCTCAGGGAATCAAAATGACATGCCCTTCAAAATAGGAAGAGATGAGTTCAGTTAGCTACAACCTTTCTACCTCCATTTTCAACAAGTTTCCAACTATTATGGCCCTAACACATGCAGACTGAAAGAAATGATTATTAATAATGAATGATTTGGTGAGATTCAGAGTTCCCCATTTTTCTATAGTACTCATTTCAAAGTTCAGTCTCTTGAAGGACATTACTGATAATAAGATTGAATTAACTCTCCCAATCTTGGTGAGACCCCACCCAACCTTCTTATGCAGGTTTGTGTGGGGATAAATTCTTTGAACAGATTGTACAAGACTCTGGGGTAATTTAGAAGTAAATGACATAAGAATTACAATAGATCAGCCCCTTATTGTAACATCCATTCTCTCTCATTAATTGTTAACCAATCAGAGTTGGTTGCCACCCTCAGGACTGCCCCTCTTTCAATGGCATATAAGCTGTAAGCTGCCATGATTGTCTTTGGCATTCAAGAGTGCCACTGACTTCTTTTATTAAAATGTTTGCATTATTAATAAAATGACTAATTACCCAGAAATTATATCTACTGAACTTTTTAAACGCCACAAGATGCTTATCCTGTGTCCTATTTTGTGGGATCATGCTTTTAGCCAGAAGTTTAGCGCAAGCAGCTAGCAGCTCTGGGCTTCGAGTCAGGAATACCTGAGTTCAAATCTGGATTCAGACACAAGCTGTGTGACCCTGGACAAATCTCATAACATCTTTCTGCCTCAGTTTCCTCACCTTTAAAATGGGGATAATAATGCCACCCACCTCCCAGGGATGTTATGAGGATAAAACGAGACAGGAATTATAAAGAGCTTAGCACAGTGCCTGGCACATATATAAACACTAGCCATTATTGTTATGTTATTTTAAAAAGGTAATTTATTTCAAACTTATATTCTCCCCTTCACATACTCTCTACACAAACTGGCCTCCTTGCTGTGCCCCGTACCTTAATTTCCATCACCCATCTGTGCTTTTGTGCAGGTTCTGTATCTGGAATGTCCTCCCTTCTCTCTGTCACTGCTGAGAGTCCCCAGTTTACTTCAAAACACAGCTTAGGCACCACCTCTTAAATAAGGCCTTTCTTGACTCTCCCAGGTTTTTGCACCTGTCTCTCACTTAGACTTGCTTTGTGTAGAATTACTTTCATATATAAAAGCAGCTAGGTGGATAGAGAACTGGGTCTGGAGTCAGGAAGCCTGAGTTCAAACCTGGATTGCAAGACACATGCTAGTTGTGACCCTGGTAAAGTCATGTAACCCCTCTGTGCCTTAGTTTCCCCATCTGTGAAATGGAGATTATAATAAGCATCTACATCCCAAGGTTGTTATATCAAATGAAATATTTGTAAAGTGTTTTATAAACATTAAAATACTATATAAATGCTAGCTATTATTATGTAACTTGTATTTATTTATCTGGATATGTGTAGTAAACTCCTCACAACTAGAATGTAAACTTCTTGAGGGCAAGGACTATTTTGAGTTATCTCTTTTCATCTCCAGTGCCTAGCACAGTGCCTTGAGCATTGTAGGCAACTTAATAAACTTTATTCAATTGAACTTGACTTTAAACGATAACACAATCAGTCAAATTTACATTAACAACTGATTATGCTTTTTAAAAGAGCCTTACCTATTACATTTTACCTTTACTATTTATCATGTTTTCTTCTCTAGGTCCCTCTTCATTAAATGAACAAAGGTTCATTCAACCTTATATCTGCATTTATCTTTTCCTTTTATGCTATCATAGGCATTGTGTAAACTCTCTCTGGTTCTCCTTTCTTTACCTTGAATGGTTTCATACACCTTTCTGCATTTCTTTATATTCCAGTATAATTTGTTGTAAATTGCGTTATGGTATTCCATACATCACTATACCACAGCCTGATCAGTCAGTCTCCAATTGTTAATGTTTAGGTTCCTTCCATCTTTTTTCATAATCATAAACAATACTGTTAGAGTCTCAGAGGACATCCCTATGTCACCGTATAATTCATGTATCTTTGAACAGGAAGTCTTTTTTCTTTTTCATAATACTTTAAGGGCGTATGGGATATGTATTTGCATGTCAATGGGGATTCTTGGAGATGAAAAGTCTTGAAGACCTAAGAGAATGAAACAATAATGACTGAATTCCAGGCATCAGCTGCAGCACATTGGAACAAGAGATAAATGTAAAGTCTTATGCGTGAGTTTTTTAAAAATTGGCTTTATGATGGGGGAAGCATGGCTAGGCACAAATTCGTCTTAGAAAGATCTGGGGATTCTAGTAGACAGCATGCTCCACGTTAGTCAATAGTATGAAATGGCAGCCAAGAAAGTGAATGCAAATTTAGATTGTATCAAGGGACTAATGTCATCCAGGAAGCCTTAATCACTTACTAAGCCTTAATCCCTGAATAGGGTTTGCCTCAGTCAAACCTAAACCTGTTAAAGACCTTAGCTTGAAAAGGCCAGGGGTCCCCACTGCATCCTGGGCCATCTCCAGTTGTCCTGATCTGTATCTGGCAGAGGTGAAAGTGAGGCTGGTGACTTTGCATAGCCCTCCCTCACTTAAATCCAATTTACTTGCATGTCGTGGCATCACCTCCCTGATGTCACGGTCCTCTTCAAGAATGAAGGACAAATGATAGTAAGAGCAAGCGGCAGCAGCAGCAGCCAGGAATAAAAACGTAATAGGACTTCCCTACTCTACCCTGGTCAGACTCTACATAGAGAAGTATGCTCAGGCCTGAATTCTACATTTCCAGGAAGACACTGATAAACTCCAGTGACCTGAGATGGGCAAACAGGATGGTGCAGCACTTTGAATCCATGCTAATAGAAGAGCTGGTTGAAGGAACTGAAAAAGTTGATTTCCTTGAAAAACCCCCTACTCAAACTCCAATCAGTGTTAGCCAGTTCATTATGGTTTTATAAGGGTTAAGGATTATTAGAAATTATTTTGCTATATTTATCCATTATTAATACATATTTTATATAAGTTACATAGGAATATAGATTCTAATTTAACCTGGAGAAGAGTAGAATTAAGTGGGACAGGGTAACTGCTTTCAAATATTTGAAGAATTGTCATGAAGATGGGAATAGATTTGTTCTTCTTGGCCTCAGGGGCCAAAACTAGAAGCAAGGGGTGGAAGTTATAGGAAGAAAATATAGGCTTGATCCAACTGGGAAAAAAGAAACCTTTCCAATAATAAGAGCTCCTCAAAAGTGAAAGGAGCTGCCTCTGGGGAGAGTGAAGACATTGTGTCCAGGCTTCAAGCAAAGAGTAGGCATGTTTTAGAGGACTTACTTGTTCAGGCACACTTTGGACCAGATAGCCACTAAGGTCCTTCCCACCTTTGTAACTGAGATTCTCTAAGATATTTAGACATGTTCTTCATTTCCCACCATGTAGGTACTCGCTTACTCTGCCTCCTCCTAAGGTTGACTCTGAGCTTCTTTGTCCTATGACTTCCTACATCTCAGGTCCGTAAGTGGAAGTCCAGTCCTCCCATGATACCTGATAATGCAGCACTGGTCTCTCTTGTTCTTCTTCATACTGAAATAGCAGCTGTCTGCGACGGCAAAGACGTGAGGGGGCAGTTCTCCTATCCTCTGGTTGTAGTACAGCTGGATCTGTTCCATAGTGTAGATGGGCAGCACCTGATAAGGGTTCACAGCCACCAAGATTGTACCTATGTAAGTCTGTGGAAACGAAAAGGAAATTGTGACGTGTCCATGAACCATCGCCGACAAAAGTGAGGCCTGAGATAGCTACCTATTGGTATTCTGCTTAAGCTAATGATATGCCAAGCTCTTGTGACAGGGGGGCTGGATTGGCAAGCCCTCTTCAGATCAAAAGGAATGAGTGGGGCAAAAGGTAAAGAAAAAATGAAAAAAAAGAAGAGGTATTGGAGGTGAAGGGGGACGGGTAAGCAAGACTGCTCTACCACTTCTTTTATTCTGAGGAGTGCTTGTCAGCCCAGTTCTCTGCCATGATAGCATGGACTTCTAGAAAGGAGAGAGCATTTGGAAGGTTATTGTTCCAACATATACGGGTACTAATGGTGATGTTGGCAATAGAAGGCTGCAGTATGCCATAGGGAACCAGTCCAACTCCCAAGTGATAGATGTATAACCTAGAGTTGACTTAGTATTCTTCACAGGGAAAATTGAGAAACTGCTGGTTTGTCTTCAGGGCTCTTAGTTTCTGTGCCTCATGGCCTGTTTCCTTCCCTAGCTAACCTTATCTCCTCCTCACAGCCACAAATACATCCAGACCCTTAATGCCTTCTCTCTCCTCTTTCCTGTCCAAACCTGTTTCTCAGATCCTTCATTCATACTAAGGCACCAATGATTGTTAAGAGATTAGAATGTGGTTTTCCCATTTATTTTAACAAGGAACAAAACCTTAAGCTAAAGGGCTGAAGCTTGATAACAGGCTTTCAGGCATCAGTTTGCAAATCAGAAAGGTCTGAAGGACTCATCAAGCCTTCTCAAACCCCTGAAATCAATGACTTAGTGTCCATAAAGTCACAATTTTAGAATTACATATAGTAGACAGCAGTAGAGAATGGTTGTCAGAAATGATTTACCTTAATGGAAGACAAAATTTTTTTTCTCATTTAGCAACCTGATCACAGGACACATCCCAGGGTGGGACTTTATCTGTGACCAAGGGTAGGGCCAAGGAAAAGCCCACCCCAATAAAGGATGGCATCAGGCACCCTGAAGCAACAACAGAACTCTTTTGTCCAAAGGCAGAGCTCTAGAAGTAGCACTCACAGAGTAAGTGCCCGTTCCATTTAGGGCAGTGTGCTGTTCTCAGAAAGGAGAGAGCACACAGGTATTAGGAGACATGATCCTCTCTTTTGCTGCAGGTATCCTAGAGGTCAACTCCAATCTGATCTTTAGATCCACTATCCTGTTGATTGGGTACCATCATTCACGGCAGGGTTGATACCATCCTCAGGGCTTTGCCTTTTGCTTTGTCCTGCTGCTTTCTTTGCCAGAACCCAAGTACTGTCTGGCCTTTCCATTGGCCATGAATGGAGCCCTCTTTTATGTACTGTCTCCCCCACATAGAGTGTGAGACACAGGGACTATATTTTCTACTTGTATCCTCATTACTTAGTACAATGCTTGGCACATAGAAAACACCTAATAAATTTCCATTCCATTCCATATTGCTCCTGGAATTTCAAGGGCTGACATTGTACTGCTACTTGCATGGAGGTCAATTCCTTAAGACTCACATAGATTTTGTGCTTCTGGTAGCGGATGAGAATATTGTGCACCATACTAGCTTCATTCAGGTCCCCCAGGAGGATCATGTCTTCCACCCCCTGAGCTGAACTGAGGTTCATGAGTTGGAGGCATTTGAAGTCCTGAGCTTCAATCCAGCATTCCTGGGCAAAAAAAAAAAAATGGGGGTTAGAATTTCCTTAGTGAAGTGCTTTCTACTCATGGAAATCATACTACTGACGCACTGTTTTCCTAGGAGTAGGAATGGATTTATCCTGACCTAGCCACACTTTCTTGCCCAGTCCTCCTGTGGCTCAAGGCAAATGGCAATTAGCAGGGACCAGTCTGGAGCTGGGATTAGGAGCCAGTTTGTCTACAGGCAGAAGACATAATGCCCTCTCACAAATATATCCTGGCCTGTGCAGGAATTATACCTGTGACTTTGGAATTATTAACTACCATGCTCTAGCCTAGGTTAGAATCACCTTCTTAAAATCATATAAAAGAACTCTTAAACATTTGATCCAGGGACTGTTCAAACCTGCAATGAGACCAGATTTCACAGTTAGAGTAGAGACAGTGCCTGGGGGAGGAGGTGGGCTATGATACAGAGATGACAGCACACATTTAGGGCTGATTGTATCATCCTTTTCTTCCTCACTCTAGATTGCCACAAAGCCTGTTTCTGATGGAGCTCTGCTTCATCCATTGCTAGAGGGACCAGAATGAACAAAACCGACACTATACTAGAACCAGTGCTGGCCCCGATGGATCATGACTCTGGCATATGCTGTCAGCCAAATATGAGTATGAAATGTCTAGCTGTGGTTAGTGCACTTCCTTCTTCCACTTCACTTCCTCCCCCACCTCCTCTATCTCATCTCCTTTTACACTATTATATGCCCCTTATCCTCCTTCTATTTTTTCTTCCCTCACACCCTCCTTTATGTCTTAACTTCTTCCTTTCCCCTCACGTATTCTTCTTCCTCAGTCTCCTTTCCCACTTCGCTTCTTCCTTACAAGCCTACTCACTTCTTAAAATTCCTTCACCTTCTTGCTCTTCCTCTCTTCTACCTCCCCCAAACCATCCTTTGATTTCTTTCTTCCAATTTTCCATCATTCTTTCCTCCAATTTTCCTTCTCCTCTCACTTTTCGCTACCTTTATTTCATACTTTACCTCCCCTTTTCTCTCTCCCTCATCTTATTTTCCTCATTTTTTCTTTCTCACATCCTCATCTTTCTCCTCATATTCTTTCTCGTCATATTCTTTTTCCCCAACATACTTTTTTCACTTTTCCTTTTTTCTCTTATATCCTCTTCCTTCTTCAGAATTTCTTCTTTTTCTTCACTCATCTGATCTTATTTTTCCTTCACTTAATCACAATTTCCTTCACTTAAAGCACCCTCTGTTCTCCCAACCCATACCTTTCTTTTCTCTCTCATGCTCTCTCCTCTCATGTCTTCTCTCCCAAGTCCTTCCCCTAACATTCCCTTCCCATTCTCCCAAACCCTTGAATTTCCAAGATTATGTCAAAATAAAAGTATTTTTCAAAGCCATATTGCAATATTAGTTTTGAATTTTTCTTGTTGTTCAGTCATTCAGTCATGTTAAATCTTTGTGACACACTGGACCATAGCATGCCAATACTGTTCATGGAGCTTTCATGGCAAAGATATTGGAGTGATTTGCCATTTACTTCTCCAGTGTATTAAGACAAACAGAGGTTAAGTTACTTGCTTAGGGTCAGACAGCTAGTACATGTCTGATGCTGGATTTGAACTCGGGTCTTCTTGACTCCAGGCCCAGTGTTCTATCCCCTGAGCCATCCAGCTGCCCCATTAGTTTTCAGTTACTATCCATTTATCCTAGCTTTAATTTTTTTTTATTTAAAAATATATGTGCTCAAGATTTCATCATTATAATTTTTTTTTTCTCTCTTAGCCTTTATTTTTGCCTTTGTCATCTTCTTTTCTGGTATTCTGGTCTTAGAAGAGTAGCCTTTCCATAGAAGAAGGTTTCTGTCTTAGAGGAAACTTCTACAGAGTGTGATAAGAGTCCCTATTTGAGGAAAGGTTTCCTTCTGGCAATAATCAACAATAGGAGGCACTTACCTTTCCCTCATCATCTTCTACCAAGACTTTATTAGGGTTAGTGTTATCCTTCACAACTGCACCAATGGGGACGTTGTTGGAGGACAAATCCACCCACACATGATCACCCTAGAAAGGAAGATGTGACAATTGAATAAAGTGAACAAGTATAAATCCTACCCATCCTTCAAGTCCAAACTGAAATTTCACCTCCTTCATGAATCTTTTGAAGGACCATACCCCATTGCACAATGGTGTCTCTTTCCTTTGAATTCCCATAGTAACTACTATTTAACTCTCTTTAATCACTAATTATCTTGTGATAAATTTATGTTTTGTTTTCCCAATTAGACTTTAAGCTATTTGATGACAGAGACTCTATCTCATAACTTTTTAAAGCACCTTCAACATTTATAAATTCAATTCACTTCAGAATTCAAAAAGCATTTTTATAGCTTTTTCTCTATCAACCATCCACCCCAAGTCCTAGTCCTATGCCTTATTTGATCTTCCTTTTATCCCTAACATAAAGGACTTATTATATTAGGCACTGGAAGAAACAGAAAACTTAATTAACATATAGCCAATACATCATCAAGGATGGGGGGGGGCAGGAAATGACATGTATACAAATAACTATGATACAAAGAAGTGAATTGAACATGGTAGGCCTTCATTAAATAATTGTTGAATAAGAATGATTCTTGCACAGTCCTGAACAAATAATGTTGAATACTAAAGCCCAACTGAAAATAAAAATAAAATTGAATTTTGAAAAAAGAGTACTAAGGCTCAGAATGAACTAAGGTTGACAATGAATGCTGAGCATAACAAAAAAAAAACTATTTTCAGCTAGGTGGGGGCAAGAAGGGATGAACAACTGCCTAGGTAGCTAGGATGATCTTTCCATACTTATCTCATGTTATTCTCTTTCATTAGATTATTATACATTAGATTATTCTCTTTCATACAACTACAGTTACCAGTTCATTGATCTCAGCATTCCTTTTCCTACCTCCATACATTTGAATAAACCACCCTCCCTCTTCTGACAAAAATGTAAAGAAGGCAAGGTGACCCCAGGATGCCAACTTGGGGGGAGGAGGTGATTCCTCCCTTTAGTAGTCCTCTAGCTTATTGACCTCATTCCCTTTGGTATTACTTCTCAGGGTCCTTCTCTTTTCCCTGGACCTGACTTTCCCCACCACCATTCCTCTCACCTACCACTTCCTCCATCCCATCTTTCCCCAATGGTTGTTGGTGCTGTGGGGACTGAGACTGATTCTTTGGAGTATAGACTATTCCTTGTCTCAAAACAACCACATTCAACTGGGGCAACCTATACTTTTCCTTCCTTCCAACTAAATTTGCTTGGGAGCTGGAATTCCTGGCTTTGTTGCCTGGAATGCACTTTCTTATGTCTCTAATTCTCAGAATTCTTATTTCCCTCCAAGGTTCAACTCAATTGTCTCTTCTTTCTTAAAGTTTTCTCTGATTCCTCTAGCTTTTAATACTTTCTTACTCCTCAAATTACCAAATATTTACTTATCTGTCTGTATGGTATATTCTTCTCCAGGGAGAGAAGTACTCAGTCTCATCATGGTGCAGAGATTTATGGGAAGTAACATGGATGCCCCCTCCCTCCCAAAGTCTTTTTCAACAAATGTCCCTAAGATGTAGTTTCCATAGTCTAGCTGTGTAAAATGCAGCTCTCAATTTGTGGTAGAATGGTTACTGATCTGCATTGGTAGAGGGAATTTCCTCACTGGAAGTTCCCTACATGCATGAAATCACAGATCAAAAAGAAAAGTAATAATAATAGCTTATATTTGCATAGTGCTTTAAAGTTCACAAAACCCTTTACATATATCATCTCATTTGAGCCTCACAACAACATTGTGAAATAGGTGTTATTATTGTCCCCATTAAAGAGAGGGAGCTGAGGCTCGGAAAGTTAAGTGACTCACCAGGTTCACATACCTAGGAATTCTCTTAAGACTACAGTTGAACCAAGATCTTCCTAGATCTAAGTCCTGCCTCTATCCACAATACGACTAATTCAGCTTGTTAATATTCTTAAAATGTCAGTGAGAATACAATACAAGATTTAAATGTGGTCTGATCAGTGTAGAGCAATCAGACTATCGTGTCCTTTATTCTGGACATTAGGATTTTCTTCATGCAGACTTCATGGCTTTTTTTCCATGCCAGAACACACCAACTCGTTCGGATCTGGTAGTCTATGAAAACCCCCAGATGTTTTTCAGTTGTGTTATTTGATTCATATCTTCTCCATACTGTCCTTATACATTAAGGCTTTGAACCAAACATTCTAGACTGTCAAGATCTTTTAGGAGCCCTTCTCTGATAGCCAATGTACTGTGTATTCTTCCCATTTTGACATCACCTGCAAATTTTAGAGGCCTGCCTCATGTAAGTTACTGACAAAAATGTGAGCAACATGGTATTGAGGACCAGATCTATATGGAACTTCCCTAGAAACTTCTTTCCAAGTTGATATCAAATCTCCTGTCTGCTGTGTTGTAGAAGGGATTCTAATTCAGGTAGAATTGGAAGGTGCCTTCCAGACTTGAGATTCTGTGATGCTGGTTCTTTGTCAAACCCTGAATATCTCACCTGTCCTTTCTGTGGTTTTCTTTGTTTCTCTTTTGGTGCACACCCCAGGAGATGGCAACTCTATAGTATCACCCCCTTTCATGGTGTTTCAAAGACTGCTAACATTTCAGTTAATTGTGAAGGTCGCATCTGTGGGCTTTGGTAGAATCTCCCTTCAGGAAGCTGTCTCCTTATCTAAAGGAAAACAGCTCTGCTGAGGACTTGGGAGTGGTAGCAAAAGAGATATAAAGGGGAAGGAGAAGATAGCAGCTTGGATTGGAAGGAATGGCTTTATCTTAGGAAATGTCAGCTTTCAAGAATTCAGAGAAGCTGATTATTCAGTCTAGGGGTTACCCAGATGGGAGGTACCATCTGAACCTCAATGTGTGAGGGAGGTAAAGGTGACTCCCGTTCTGTATGTGGGAAAAGAGAAGAGCCCAGCCATAGCTGAGGGTCATCAGTGAGACAAGGATCTTGACCTAGGCTGTCATATGGTGGACTGCTGCAGAATCTTCCCTCTATAGGCCAAATAATTTCCAATTAAGTAATGATTTCTTTCTGTGCATACTTGGAATTGAAAAGATTCTCAATTGTAGGAAACTTTTTCATTCATTAGTAGTCAAGGGGGAAACTTAGGGAACACAGATAAATAATCTGTAGATTATCTCCAGTATAGATTATAACTTTAGTTCTATCAAATATCACATCATGTGTTCATGGAGTCAAACAGTCAGACAGTCATACATCAAGTCAGAGGACCTGTGTCAAATCCTACCTGACACTTACTGTCTGTATGACTTTGGGCAAATCATTCAGCTCTCCTGGGTCTCAGTTTCCTCATTTGTAAAATGAGGAAGCTGGAACAAATTGCTCACAGGTCCCTTCCAGCTCTAGATATGGTCCCATGGTCCTTGACACACAAAGATAATATCTAAAAATCATGGAATCATAAGATGTTAGAGTTGGAAGGCACCTTACAAGTTGTTTAGTACAATCACCTCATTTTACAGAAGAAAGAAAATGAAATCCAGATCTGAATCATACCAAGATCTCCAGATAATTAGAGGCAGAGCCAGAACTTAAATCTGGCTATTCTGACTCTCAGTCTTTTTCTATACAATACCCTCTCCTTCTGGAGATCCCTGGCAGAGAGTAGAGGGGGTAGGACAGAGCATGCTGGACCTTTAAGGAGGGAGAACTCAGCTGTACACTTAACAGTACTCTATAGGTGTCTCTTTATGCAATAGAGAAATTCCTGGAAATTTGAAGGTGAATCAAATTTATCTTAAATTCACTAGAAAAGATGGTCACTAGAAGGCATATTGATGTGAATTTTTTTTCTAAAGAGTGAAGAAGCTTTTGGTAAAGTAAATATAATCCTTGCCCAGTTTGGATTTTCATATATTTTTAGCTTTACCTCAACTATCCACTATGGAGTTGACATTCATTCTTTCCACAAATATCTCTTGAGTATCTGTAATGTGCAATGCATTATGCTAGTTTCTATGGGATCAGGGAAAGACAGAGAAGATAATCACTACCTTTAAGGATTTGAACTACCAACACTTTAATAGGGGAGATAGGACATGTACACGAATAAACATGTACTTCAATGAATGTGCTTTGTGCCTTAAGATAACTTCATTGGGTAGGGCACTGGCTCTGGAGTCAGGAGGACCTGAGTTCAAATTCGGACTCAGACACATAACACTCACTAGTTGTGTGACTCTGGGCAGGTCATTTACCCCAAGTGCCTCACCAAAAAAACCAAAACCCTTCATGAGTTTATCTAAACCTTATTTCAAGCTATTTACATTTCCTATGATCCTTCTACATGAAGCTTTTCCTAATCTCCCCTCAGCTGCCAGTGCCCTCCCTACAAAATCACTTTAGACCTATTTTTTCATATACTTTGTATTTATTTATGTCTGTACATATTGTCTCTCTCAGTGAAATATAAGTTCTTTGAGGGAAAGGACTGTTTCATTTTTGTCTTTGGGTCTTTGATATCCAGCACAATGCCTGACTCAAAGTAGGTGCATAATGAATACTTGATTGATTGACTTAACGTCTCTTGAAGTAAAATGTCGTATGTTTACTCCCTGTTTGTGTAAAGCAGGATTTTTCCCAAAATGACTTATTTCAGTCCCCTGTGAAGCCTCCCATTGTTCTGGGATGTGGTCCCTAAGCCTAAAATTTCCCTACCTATATCTTTCATTCATTCAATACTCAACTAAATTTTATTAAATGTCTTTAGAGGTAGTTCAATGCTGTGGAAAAAATGTTAAACTTGGGGTCAGGAGAGACCTGGACTGAAGTCAGGGCTCTGACACATTTTAGCTTTGAGACCCTGGGCAAGTGACTTTATCCTTCTGAGGCTCAGTTTCCTCATTTGCATAAAGCAGGTAATAGTTCATGTGCTAACTACCACACAAGGATGCTATGAGGAAATCACAAACCTTAGAGAACTATAGAATTGTGAGCTGTTATTTTTAAACACCTTCTATCTATAAGGCACCATTCTAGGTGCTGGAGAAGATACAAAGATTAAAAACTACACACTCCTTGGTCTAATGGACATCTATCATATGTCGGTCTTCTTTTTCTAATGGAAAGTGTATCTTTTAGATCATCTTCCTCTAGCAGTTACCCCATCCTTTTGACCATTTTGTTGGGCTGGATTTTTTTGTTGTCTGGATTTTCTAATTGGGTTCTGTTGGGTCTCCATTAAGGAGTGGTGACCAGAACTGTATGGAGTTTTAGATATGTATTCACCATGGTTTTGTATACAGGGAGAAGAATTTTATTCTTTTTATTTTTGACATTTGATCTTTTAAGAAGAGCATGGTCCTTTGAAGGTACTCTTCAAGTTATATGGGGCTAGAGGGTAGGCAGGGGGAGATTGTTCAAGTAAGACTTTGAATGAAAAGATCTCTAGCCTTCCGTCTCAAGAATAAAGCAATCTTTCCGCATATGGCTGAGAGAGTATGAAGGACTGTGGGGGTGGCAGACTGGGCACAGAAAGGAATATGAAGTAGAGCTGAATATTTGGCTTGATATATAATCTTCCTTCCATATCCCAAGGAGTAACTTCACTATCTAGTTTTCTTTTGGGAAGATTCATCATAGGAATGAGAGACAATAATAAAAACAAGGGCAATCTACCCATCCTACTTTTTAATTGGCAAAAATTTTCTCCCTTTATCTCACTTGAGTCTCACAAGAACCCTGAACAGCAGGTACCAATTGGTTCCTGGGAGAAAGGAGGACTGTGGACAGACTCCACTGATTCCGTTCAGATGACATCAACTTTTGGTTTTGTATTCTAGATTCTTCTTGCCTCCATTCTCTCCCAGATAAGGTTTTACTGCATCTATTCCTTTTCCCCTCATGCTGAGAACAGATTTCACTTGGTTTTGTATAACTTCCCCCCATTTTGTCTTACAGCTCCAAAAGATCAGCAGCGTACCTGTCTGAAAACTGCCATCTCAGACCAACTGTCCACATGCAGCCTGTTTGCAAAGAGAGAAGATACAAGTCATAAGCAGTCCTTTATGATAATCAACTCAGTCCCAACCCAAAGGTTAAAAAAAAACACAACCCTATCTCCAATAAACCTAATCAAGCAAGTATTTATTGAATGTTTACACTATGGGAATACAGAAAAATTGTAAAACTTGCACTTTGCCCACAAGGAATTTATACTCTGGCTGGAGAGAAACTGAAACAATTAAAGATTAATAGGAGACAAGTTATGGTTAAATGCTAAATGGAATGGGACTTGCTAAGTTCTTGATTGGATGTCTTTAGTTAGTAACCCATACCATTTCTGTTCTTTTGCTGCTCTTTATGTTTGATCAGAAAACAAATTTAATTGCTTTTTTTATTTTCTTTTTAAGTCTTTGATTTAAGGGGTAGTTTGCTGGGTAGGAGAGGAGGAGGAGGAGACATATTAGAAAACGAATTTAATGTAACAACAAAAACCAATAAATCAAATTAAAATAAATAAGTGTACTGGAGAAAAAAAGAGGAACAAAGCATGGGGCCTTACCTAAACTTCACCAATAGATCCAACACAAATAACTACAACACAAAATTACAAAATCATTTACTATAAATGCATACAAGTGGTACAAACTGCTGTGTAAAGTCCAAATGGGAGAAAAGCCATGTTAAAATGTTCTTTTGTCTCAGAAGGGGATCCTACTTATTTGAAAGATAGCTACAGCTGCCTATTTAATAAGAATTGCAGAAAGAATGGAACTGGTAAAATACAGTTTTAGACAAGTACCATATGCCACAATACTTTCCAAATAGATACTTGACTTACATATAAAAGGTCATCATAAAAGAAAATTAAGGGAAGTTGGATGGAGGTGGACACAAGGAGGACACAACTATGTCTAGAGGGAGAATTCCTATCCAGATATGGAATAGGAAAGATTACAAAAGATAGAATAAATAATTTTGATTATATGCGATAAGGCCAGCCAGAATAAGATATGAAAACATCAATTTGGAAAAAAATTGTTGTATAAAATATCTCTAGTAAACTTCTGATATCCAAGAAATGTAGGGAATTAATACAAATATATAAGATCAAGAGCCATTCCTTAATGTATAAACGGTCAAAAGATTATGAACAAATAATTCTTGAAAAAAAATTATGAACTAGTAACAACTAAGATTGCTCCAATCTGTAATGATAAAAGAAATACAAATAAAAATAACTCTGAGGTTCCCTTCACACTTAATGAATTGGAAAAGATAACAAAAGATGGAAATGCTCAGTGTTGCAGGGTCTGAGGTAATAGGAACTCTAACTAGCAAACCTTTGATAGACCTGTGACTTGACCCAACCATTCTAGAAAGCAATTTAGAAATATACCCAAAAATATGTACAAAATGTCCATAGTTTTTGACCCATAGTTTAGATCCCACTGCTAGGCATATACCCCACAGAGGATAAAGAGAAGCAGAAAGGTTTCATACACACCAAAATATTCATAGCAGCATATTTTTTAGTAGCAAAGAACTCAAAACAAAATAGATGCCTTTCTGCTAGAAAATGGTCAAATCAATTGTGGTATGTAAATGAATTGGAATACCACCGCACCATAAAAAACAGTAAATGTGAAGTATTCAGAGAAGCATGAAAGGACATATGACCCTATTCATGAAAATAAAAAGGATCCAGAAAAATAATGTACTTGGTAACTACAACAATTTAAATGGAAAGAATAAAAAAAAATGGCACTGAATGGTCTGCAATTATAATATCCAGATAGCCCAGGAGAAGAGTTAAGAAAATATACTTCCTTCCCTTCTTTTCAAGTTTGGGTGCTGTGGGTGTGGAATGTTTTATAAGCAATTAGGTACAATTTATATGTTGATTGGTTTTGCTGAATTTTTTTTCCTCTTCTTAAAATCTGTTATGAAGGATAGCTCACTAGGGAGGGGAGGGGATATGTTCAGAAATGAAGATGATATAAACACAAGAGATAGCAATAAAAATAAAACTTAAAAAAAAGAAACTGAACCATTTTGTGGAATTAAAAAGATCAAGCTTGGTCTCAGAGAAGCATTGAGAAAAATGCATTTCCCTCTATGACTATGGAATAGTGTACGCACGTGCACTCACATGTGCAGACACACACACACACACACACACACAAACACACATATATACACATTGCCAGACACTTGTTATGCTGGTTGGTTCTGCTGAATTGCTTTTTTTTTCTTTTTTTTTTTTAATCTTTGTGATCAAGCATGGCTAGTTGTGGGAGGAAGGATAGAGAGATACAGCCATAAATGAATTTAATATAAAAACAAAAGGCATCCAATTTTTAAAATAAAGGTAACTAGAGTTAGAATACATAAAACTGGAGACCAGGGTGATCACCCCTACTACTCAGTTGTGTGAAAACTCCAAGAGAGGCCCTTAATTTTAAAGCTGAGGATTTGGATTTGAAGAATAAGTCTTTGTTTACTCTCTCCTTCACTTTCATGATCAGATAATTGTTGATAATAGTGCTTCTTGGCCTTTCCTAGACTGAAGAATTCACATGTCATAGCCATTCTCCAATTGATCCTACATCTGAGCCCCCACCTAAGTCCCACTATGGAGCCAAGGAAAATCTTGAACTTGGCTATAGGTCATCAGTGGAATATACAACAATTTTGTGAATCCTCTTGAGGCCCCCTGAATCCCTCTACTACCAATCGTATATGTAGAGTGAGTAGAAACGACTTGTATTATCACTCTTTCTTTCACCTAGTACAAGTTACCTGAGGGAAATCACACAAGGAAAACACACAAGGTACTCAGGGAAATTTCAGGTGCCAGAGCACTAGGTGTGGATTCTAGTGCTGCTTTGCTATGAGCTTCTTGTGTGACCTTGGCTAGGTTACTTCTCTGGGTCTCAGTTTCCTCATCTATAATTTTATCCATTTGCTGATTTTTAAGTTTTTTTTTATAACTCTAAAGAAAATGGATATTCCCATAAGGCTGTCCCTGTAAGGACTGTTTTGAGTGCTCCAGGGGATAACCTAGTACAATGAAGCACAAACAGAGCTGAGAGCCAGGCTGTCCACAGTTTTCTGTGGGAGGTATCAATCTCCTCTTCTCATTCTTGACATCCCTGTAGTAGCCTTCCCTTTCCCCTCACTCCTGACAATCCTTTCTCTTCTCCAACCCACCAGGTAGCCATTTCACTACCAGCCAGTTTCCATGATGAGTTTTTGTATTACGAATACAGATCCCAAAATGGTTTTTTAGAAGTAGACAAATAAGCTGTGCTGGAACTGCAGCATTATTACAGACAAAACTATTGCCTATAATCACCCAGTCATAACATTGATTCATAAATATTCAAGATGTTTTAATAAATGTTGCCACAACAAACGCTCATAATCTCTAAGCTATATAGAATAAAAGGCTCTCACAGTATAGAGTCCTAGCAGAAGAAATCAAAACCAGGATGGAAACAGGATGTATTTATTACCCTTGTCATCTTTTCTGCTACCGAAGCCATCCTAAAGATGCTTACAGTAGCTTCCAGAAGATGAGCTTACATGCCAATACTTTCATTCAATTACAAAAAGCAGTCACCTCATCTACCTGCACAATAATTCACAAAAAATTAAATGTAAAGAATAATAGCAAGACAGCAAAAAGTACCAGGGCCTTTTCTTTCTGAACTCCAGCAAGGGAAAAAAAATGAGAAAGAAATAATAATAGGGACAACAACCTGTGATTTTGTTTGTGTAGGAGAGGAATTGGCAAACTATGACCATGGCCAATCCTGCCTGCTAGCCAGTGAGCTAGGAATGGCTTTTGCAATTTAAAATTTAAAATTAAATTATTGTATTTAAAATGTAGAAACCATTCTTAGCTTGAGTCCAAACAAAAACAGGTGGTGAACAGGGCTTGATACTTGGGGAGTAGTTTGCTGATTCCTGGTATAGGGAACTCCCAGGTAAGGAAATTCCTTCCTCCAAGGCAGGTTGACACATTCTTATGACATATAGACTTAGAAAGTTGGGTAGTATTCAAAGAAGTTAAATGACTTGTCCTGATCTATATAGCCAGAATGCATCAAAGGCAAAATTTGAACCCAGATCTGATGCCAGCCCTTTATCCACTATACCACACTGCTTCTGACACTAATAACTGATATTTATATAGCACTTTAAGATTTGCAAAGCACTTTCCACACATTATTTCATTTGAGCCTCTTGCTTTCTTCCCTGAGAGCTTTTGAAGAGACAAACTGGGGAATGCTTCAAGGCAGGGGGAAGGGCAGCAGCTTCAGGTGTCTGCCATGTTTCCATGATCACATGACACCTCTGTTCCTGGTATATTTCTTCCTTTCTTATCTCAGGTGAATGAATGTCCCAAGAGGGGAATGCCTATATAAACAGTAAGGTCAGGAAATCTATAAAAGTCATCAAAGTAACACCGACAGAGTCCCAGAGCCAATGGCTACAATAAGTGAGTCTGGTGAGAAGACTGTGCAGCAGCTCTTAGGAGTGACCAGCTTAACCCAGCTGAGCAAGGTGGTGGCTTGTCTATCAGCCATGCCCCACCGAGAAGTGACTTCATGAAGGGAGAAAAGAAGGGACTCCCAGGGCCAGGAAATAGTCTGCCTGCTCTCCCCCTACGTGGGGGAAAGGAGTGTTTTGTAGTAATAAGTTTAAGTTCAAGACCACTCTTTTCAAGGTATGAGTAGGTTGTAAAGAGGAGAATACAATTCCTTGTTTAGGGGGTTGTTGTACTTCAAGCTTTGTTATGCCTTCTCAGTAAATATCCATTTGTAAAAGTTATTTGGTGTTAATTGGTAATTGGTTTTGAGAAGATATTAACTGATTAATTATAAGAGAGCACACTGGATGGGGACTCATGAATGATAGCATTAGAAGCCACAAACCTCAGGGTTATCTCTAGAACCTTAAAGGGAGTAGTAGCCAGTCATTCTCTGGGGACTCAGTTTGCTAGAGGGAGTAGGAA